CCAGGAGGAGGCTCTCGCCTGGGAGGACCCTGGTTGGAGTTCCAAGCTGTCCATCAGAAAGGGGGGGGGCGGTTGCTTAAAAATAGAGCACCGCTTTCCCCATCTATTGTGGGGCTATTTGCATAATCCTGCCCTGAGGGTGAGGTTTAACATAACCCATCCCCTTCATTTGCATGTCCCCTGCCACCCTGATCCCTCCCCGGGGCAACATTCACAAATGACACTATGCTGGCTTAAAACCTCCCAGAGTCACTGGGAATTGGGTGGCATATAAATTTAATAAATAGCAGTAATAATAATCAGTGGCATATCAATTTAATTAGTAATAATAGTTGTTGGTCGCACAGTCAGCCAGATGTTTAGACTGGATTTGGCATTTTGGTCCGCCGATCGAGTCCTTCCCAAGGACCTGGGATAAGCAGATGCTGTCTGATGGGGTTAAAAGTATCGTGGGATGGAAGCTGTTCCAAGTGAAGCTGCCTTTTGCAAAAGACTGATGGTGATTTTGTCAATGCTGAAGGTCTTCAAGGGGTGCTCCAGATGTTTTGGGATGGCACCCAAGGCGCCTATGGCTATTGGGACTCTCTTGGCTTTCTTTTGCCACAGTCGTTCTACTTCGGTTTGCAGCCCTTTGTATCTTGTGATTTTCTCCAGTTCTTCCTCTTCTCTTCTGCCGTCTCCAGCTATTGCAATGTCCGCCCTGCAGACTCTTTTGTCTTTCTTATCCACAATTGTTACTGTAAGTCTGGGGCGTGGTGTGGCAGGCGCTTGTCTGCTGGACTTCTAAAGTCCCAGAGCACTTTCGCTTCTTCATTTTCTATCACTTTATCTGTTTTGCGGTCCCACCGGTTCTTGCTTGCAGGCAAGTGGCATTTCTTGCAGATATTCCAATGCACCATTGTGGGTCCTTTGTCATGCCGTTGTTTGTGGTCAGACTGTGCGATCTTCTTGCAGCAGCTGACTAGGTGGTCCCCTGTTTCTTCAGCTTCTTTACAGAGGCGGCGTTTGCTGTCGGTTGCTGTCTTCTCAGTTCTGGCTTTGTGTGCATTTGTTGTTAAGGCTTGGTCTTCTGCAGCCAGAATTAGCTCCTCTGTCTCTTTCTTCAACTCTCCTGCTCTTAGCCATTGCCAGGTCTTGTTATTTGCTTTGCCTGCTAGTTTTTTTGTGTACTGGCCAGATACGAAGCTCGAATTGCACACTATAGGCAGAATCTCCAATTTCAGTCGAATCAGAAACGTTTCTACCAATCCATCAATGGAGAGAGTGCAATGAACCAGTCAACACCAGACAAAGAAGAAACAGTGCAGTTCAACCCAAAGAAATACAACAAGAATGCAACTTGGATAAAGGAGGTGGATAAAAATAAAAAAGAAGCTGAAATGAAAGAACTTGTAATAACAGCAGAAATGGTGAAGAAAAGGGTGAGGAAGATCAAGAATTGGTCAGCACTTCGTATCTGCTGATCTTGACTATGGCTGTTATTTGCTGCTTTATTATTTCTGCTGCTTCCTTGATCTTCCTTGTTTCTAGGTGATATTTCTTGATCAAGTATTCTTTGGTCGTCTTGTTCTTCAGCTTCTTTTCTTTCG